TTATATGCCAGACCAAATGATCAAAGCCTTGGCGATGTTAAGGCTGATAGCCAAAGGCTCACCTCGCTTATCGATAGCCTCACCCCAGATATATGTCGCGTACGCTAGAAGGTCACCTGTCGATCGATTCAATCTATCTTCTTTTACTTGCCTCAAATATAACGCAAACATATTACATATATTTTTTTTGCAAAAAGCGACAGATTTGTTAGTTTTTACTTCATCTAGTACAATTAAAATATTTGGTAAAATTCAAACAGTCAAGTCAAAGCCAATTACAGGATACTCACAGGATATTTTAAGTGTCTTCATGAAAAATGAGTTTAAATCCGAAACTTGGTTTCAACAATTAATACGTTTACAAATTTAAGTGTTTTGAATGGGTTTATTAGGTTTTCAATCAAGAATTTTGGAAATAATTTGCAGTTATTTTGTTTATTCATTAGCTATTTCAGGAAGTATGCGTCGTAGAGCATAATGGGTTTTACCTGTAGATGCGGCTTAATGAGACGGGTCGATTGGTATTATAAAAGTTCAGTAGCGGAAAAGTGCAGATAATCGGTTTTGGACTAAGGGGACGATTTACTAATAATAAACTTCTCGCTTTCTAAACGCGCTTTGTTCGTTATTTTGAAAATGTACATATTAATAATTATAATTAGTAATAATATTTAATAGGACTAACAATCAATTAATTCTTCAAATAATTCTTATTAAAAAATAATGAACGAAAATATTTACAAAGAATAAAGACATTTATTTAAATTCAAAATAGGGAACCCTTCTACTACAAAGGCGATGTTCTTGGCTGTATCATTTCGGTGGTAATTTTTTACCATTTCGGTAGACAATTTTCATTTCAGTGGACTGCCGAAAACTCATCCTTAAATATTTCAGTAATTGGTGATTGTTGAATTTGCCCCGTAGGATCGTTTAAAAATCGAAAAAAAACCATAAACAATATTATTTATTTTTTTATTTTGCACCTTTAATTGCATTTTGTGTAAAAACTATGGGAGATCGCGAAAATAAGTTGATATCTTTTTTGTAGGAAATTAAATTTCCTACAACTTTGTGCAAGAAACTTTTTCTATTTTTCCAGCCAGTCGCGAGATATTGACGAAAAACTCGTTTTTGCACCATTCAGCATTTTTTTTTCACCCTTTGCCGTCAATGCAGCACCCTGCAATTTTAGTATATTAATCTACGAACCCTTGCGGAAATTTTCGCGTTGGTTGCAGGTGATCAACTCAAAATGGCAAAGTTAAGCCTTCGTTGACTGGACTATAACACTACTAGCACAATACCTTAAACTAGAATAGGCAACGTTTTATTAGATTATTACAAAAGTTTCATGTTACTCCATATCTAATAAAATATTTCTTTTCGGTAAATAGACAACAGACATCGGGCGCTTGAATAATTTGTTAATAATACATATACTTATTCACAGTGTACTTATTTTCGCAGTAAAAAGTCAACTTCTGTGTCCACTAGGTTGAAACTAAAAGATTATACTGTGGCGGCGACATCTATATGCCCCACATACAACGGATGGAGGAAATCATTACTCACCATCCTCAAGAGATGGTGTTACCTGCACTGCGATCTTAATAGTATGGAAGCCTTACATCGCGCAAATGAAATTCGGAGGCTAACTCTTCATATATACGATGCCCGACTAACATCAGTCGGGTCGCGGCCCCCGAGCTAACATCACACAGCTCGGAGGAAGATCTTCCCCTTTGGCGTTCCTACACTGGTGACACTCGACTGAGCACAGCAGCAGCAAGAAGCAACCTTCTACCATCGCAGCGCAGCCATCAATCCTCATATCCCTTCTTCATCAGGTCAAGCAGCATCAGCAGTCACAGCAAGCCAGCATCAGCCTCAAGGTTCCATCGCAGCTCTCAACGACGCTTCCTAGACCTTCGGCAGCACTCGACGGCATCATCCCGACCTGGTCTCCGCAGCCCACGACCGGTACCTCATTTGTCGGCCGCAAGCACACCGGCGTGGCAGCCCTGCACACCAGCAGCTCGGACCCACCGTCACACTCCACCTGTCTCGACTCACCGTAGACTGGAGCAACTCTGCAGCACTGGCGACGCGCCTTCACCCCACCCGTCTCGACTCACCGCAGACTGGGGCATCCTGCAGCACACTGGCACTTGCAAACTCGACTGATGCACCGACTGCTGAAAACACTGACTATCGACCTCCGGTCTCGGAGGGGAGTGATGTAGCGGCGACATCTATATGCCCCACATACAACGGATGGAGGAAATCATTACTCACCATCCTCAAGAGATGGCGTTACCTGCACTGCGATCTTAATAGTATGGAAGCCTTACATCGCGCAAATGAAATTCGGAGGCTAACTCTTCATATATACGATGCCCGACTAACATCAGTCGGGCCGCGGCCCCCGAGCTAACATCACACAGCTCGGAGGAAGATCTTCCCCTTTGGCCTTCCTACAATACTTTTAATTTCATTTTCACAAACGAGTGGCGGCGTTTTGGATGCGACAAATACTAACATACCCACGATATTTCGGCACTGTTGCAAGCGCCATGATCACGGAGTAACTGAAGTAATTGCGGGTAGGCTGTTTATTGGCAGACATATCGGTCTACCCTCCGACGAAGTCTTTTATTGCGTTCGATATCCGTACCACTGTTCCCATTCTCACTATTCACTCGAAACTGTTCTCGACACACAACACTTACTGTATCGGATCGCGACACGACACTTTTTTGATTATTTCCGGTTTTACACATACGAACCACAGGATTCCAGACACTCGACAATTTAAACCCGTCCTCACGATTGAAATTTTTATGTTTTGTTATTTCTATCGCTTCCCTGACCAATCTTGGTATGTAGTGGCGTTCTGTCGAGATAATCTGTGGGTTATGAAACTCAAACCAGTGGTTAGGACCAGAATCAATCAAATGTTCCGCGATGGCTGATTTCTGCGTATCGGAAACTCGCTAAATGCCGAAATATCGGAAACACGCTAAAAACAAGGTAGGGTAACAATCCCGTAAATAACTTATATTACTATAATGTTAGTGACCATGAAAGTTTAAAACAATAAATCTCATTTATTTTGAATTTATCACCCAATGTATAGATTTACATCTTTGTCGTGCTCTTTTAAATCGTTCACCAGTTACAGATCGCAGGCTTTCTGGTCTTCCCTTTTTTATTGGTAGTGTAAAGCTCTAATAAAGAGTACTTCCACTTATCAATCAAGCTGCTACCAGCCCAGTAAATATTGCAAATGGTGCAGTCATAGCAATTATATTACAAAATAAGAATAAGTATTTATAAATTAGCGAATAACGAAACACTGTTTACAAAATATGCGAAGCAACTTTTACAAATATAATCAAATAAACCTTTTACTTAGTTTTTTTTAATCTTGTTCATCAATTAAATATTATTATCCTAACTATCTATACTAATATTATGAAGAGGCAAGAGTTGTATGTTTGTAACAAATAATGTCTCAAACTACTGAACCGATTTCGAAAATTCATTCACCATTTAAAAAAGCTACATTATTTAATAGATTTTCAAGCATTAATCGCAATATCGTTGATTAATCTGCTCGCGTTATAAATCTAAAGAAAATTTTTACTTGAAAAAAATCCACTCTGACAACTTCTTCGAAAGGATTTTTTTCTAGTAAAATGTCTCAAACTACTGAACCGATTTCGAAAATTCATTCACCATTTATGGAAGCTACATTATTTATTAGATTTTCAAGCATTAACTGCAATATCGTTAAATAATCTGCTCGATTTATAAATGTAAAGAAAAATTTTACTTGAGAGAAATCCACTCTGTCAACTTCTTCGCGAGGATATTTTTCTAGTAAAAAATTCTTTACAAGTAACTACATTACATACGAGTGACATAGGCTATATTTTTTAAATTTTTGATCCACTATTACAGTGATAATGGCTTACATATTAAAAATTAAAAGATACATTTACACTATACATTATATTCATGTTACTTTTATTGTTTTTGCAGTGTAGGCAAAAATGACTCGCAGATGGGAGATTATTCTCTGTCTCACGTGACACTTATTGTTATATTTTGGGCAATTCACCCAATAGCTGCATAAATTATTATCAAAATGTTATTATAATTTATAAACTATATTATTGTTAAGTTTCAATAAATCCATTCAGTGTTTTTTGCGTGAATGAATAACAAAGATACAAACGTAAGATTGAAATTATAAGCGCAATTGGTTTTTATACAATTTTAAATCATTGCAGATCCTAAACAGTCATATAAAATGAAAAATTATGTAAGGAACCAAAACACAATTTTCGATTATCTAGACAATAATAAATAAATAAATATTTCCAACACTCACACCAATTAGCCTAGCCCCAAAGTAAGCACTATAAGGCTTGTGTTATGGGATACTAGGGTTACGGATAGCATACATAGACTGTACATATATAAGTATATTTTTATAGAAATACATATTAAACATCCATGACTGGAGTAGAAATGCTCGTATTCATCACACAAACATCTGCCCCCACCGGGATTTGAACCCGGGACCTCTCGAGTCGGCGACACCATGAAACCCGGCATACAAACCACTCGGCCACGGAGGTCGTACAATGATACCCCATTCGACATATTTCGTCAAGTTATTTTTTTCCTTCTCACACTATGGCACCTAATTGTCCCCATATCAATTAAGATTACTATCATATCTTTAGTAGCACTCCCATGATCAAGACGAATCGATTGACGTATGAATCATCAAAATCTCTAGGGTGCCACAAAGGAACATAGATACATAATATAGACTGTTGAATACTACATGTACCCTGCCGGCGCGTCGCGCTTCGCGCTCTTGCATTGCGCAGTCGGGTAATAATAAATAATTGACATTACACATTTGTAATGGAAAGTGACTTCATGAGATATCTCATATTGATGTCATTTTACAATTTGACAACTCTGTATATAATACAGGGAGAAAAAAACAGCCCCTGCCGAGTTTCTTGCCAGTTCTTCTCAGTACAAGGTCTCCCGCCGTAGCTTTTCAGAAGTGCTTGTAACAGCCTAGACTGAATAAACGATATTGAATTTTGAATTAATGAAATCACAACTTAGACGTTAAATGCGCCATTAGAAACTTAGATATATCTTCGGCTATGGCCTCAGGTTTGTTTAAGTGCAAGTCGTGGCCACCATCGACAATTTTAAAACTGTAGTTCCGGTAGGGCCAGCAGTCAGCGTCTGTTATAAAGGGTACTGTCTCGTATAATCCTATGTCGATCACGCTCTGAGCTAAAACAGCGAATGTGGGGGTCGTACAGGTGGTGTATATCCTCCTCAGATGCTCCCCTGAGAATGGTAGAATGGTTACTTCCTTCATACGCTGATCGTAGGTAAATCTGGAATAAATGCGAAAGTCAAAGTCAAGTCATAGGGTACGGCCAGAGTGCACTCAGATTCAGACTCAGAAAACAAGCGCGAGAAATAAACAATGTAGTTAAAGCAGGGTGGCCATAGTGGCTGCAGGCAACCTGCTTAAACTACACTGTATATTTCTCGCGCTTGTTTTCTGAGTCTGAATCTGAGTGCACTCTGGCCGTACCCTTAGGCTGTATACAGAACGAAAGCTGGAAGCCGACCAGCGCTTGTCAGCGTTGGTCCTTACCGGTAACGAGGGTTGCCACCTTTTTTTATGTCCAAATAAAGTACATCGGATATTAAAGGTAGAAAAAAAGTACATTGTGTCCAAAATAAAGTACTTTTTATTTCACTTTATGAGCAGGTAAGCTTACGAATATATTTTACGCTACTCATAGCAACTTTTAATACATAATTTGTGGCTACTAAGAATCTGTAGTTCATATCCGCAATGGGAAAGGCCATTGTACAAAGCCATACAGCCGCGACAATGTTGCAGGGATGAGCTAAGGACGACATATTATACATACTATTGTTACATTTTACAGAAAAATTCCTCCCTATCCTCTTTTTGTATATTTATGTAAAATTAATCTCCAAGTAATCAAATCACATTAAATAAAGTATTTTCGCGTACTTTATTGTTGGCATAAAGTATAGAGAACAATTACCTGAAATAACGTTAAATACTGTATAATAAAGTACGGGCGGCAACCCTACCGGTAACCGACGCAGGCATTTCTATGGACCAGCGCCGATAAACGCCGACAAGTGCCGACACGGGCTGGTGAGCGCTGGCACCGCCCTTTGAAATTAATGAACAACTAGGCTTCAATCTGATTCCTTTATGTAACTTATTGTCGGCTTCCAGCTTTCTTTCTGTATACAGCCAAAGTCCTATAGTTTTTGAGGTACTTGACCTTTGCCCGTCGTTTCAACGGGTGGTCAGCTTTAACGTCAGTCCCACGCAGAGAGAAAAACCCATCTCGCGCAGATATTTCATGAAAAAAGTACATCTCTAACTTGTGGAGGCCTGGCTACAGGCAAGATTGGTAAAATTACGATACTAAATTGCCAACCCAAGTGAGAGAACATCAGGAGCGTTCTTTCAATGCAAACACCCACCAGTCAAGGAAGTAGACTGGTGATCTTGATTGCTGGATGCTGAGTATTAATGTCACCACTGCTGGGGTACAGACCTTCCCTATGGATAGGATAGGGAGGGGCCATAACCCACCACATGGGCCCAGTGCGGATTGGTGAGTGATGACGACTGTAGATACAGCCGGGACCAACCGACCACTGCGAAAGTTGCTTAACTTCAACGATCGCAGCCGATCACGCTAACTTGCGCCATCGAGTTCCACAGAAGAAATGAAAATCATTAATTTAAATTAATAGTACGAAGTTATTTGTTTTGTTCAGTTGCAAGTACCAGTTTTGATATTTAAGTAATTAATTGTTATTAAGATATGTAATTAGAAATTTCTACTTATTTGAAGAAACAGGTATGCTGAATTTTAAGCTTTCACGTGCTCAATTTATAAATCTATAGTTCTTTTTTACTAGAATAAGTTCAAGTTCGTCAAAGCTTCAAGCAAAAACAAATCTTTGTACAATTTATATGTCCGCTTTTTCTTGAGAGAGCAGTACCAATGACCGAATAAAATAGGCGGTAGGTTCTGATCAAATAGTCTAGAAATATTGTAGTTTTTTATTGGGTATACATAGAAAAATCCGCACATTTAAAGCTTAACACATAGCCAATTCCCTAAGTGAAATTAAGAAAAGACGGCATTAAAATAACACTACTTTATGGTGATTTCGTGTTTACGTAAGGTTTTTGAACTCAGGGATGGAGTCAGGGTATAGATCCCGTCACGTAAAAAGACCGCAGAGCAATAGTGGAGGGGATGCGTTTGCGCATGGTTGCAATCGCGGCTGAAAGTATACACGATGCGTTCTTGTCGAGCGATGATTTTCAAACATACAGATTTCTTCAGAGGTGTCCTAATACAGTTCCTAAGCCGTCGCACGAGCACAAGTACATTATTTTCATCACACAATGAAATCGCATCGCGCCATCGCACGATCGTCGCCAAGCAGGCCGACGCCTTTGGCTTTGTTTTTTTTAAGTATAAGTTTCAGATAGAATTATTGTAGAGTAACAATTGGTTTTTGTATCTTACAGGGTTCTTCCCGATTATCGCGATAATCGATAAATCACGCTGTGTACCTGCGCACAGCACGATTTATTTAAAGCCAGCGGCCATATTACGTGACGGGATCAATACGCCGTAGTATAATCTGGTATCGCAAACGTCTTTTTGGCGGCTGAACCATTAATTAGGATTAAATAACCTTTTCATATGAGGAGAAAAACTGATGTGAGTATTCTTCAATTACTTATACATATATCTAACCTCATAGAAGGATATTAAATAATATAATTCCACTATTTTATAATGTACCTGTAGAGGCCGTCACCGGCAGGCTCCAGGCACCGCTCCAGAACGTTCTCTGTGGCCTCTTTTGGTATGCTTCTGGAGCTCATTATCATTTCTTGAGCCTGAAAATTAAAAAGACTGTGTGGCCATTTTCATATTAACAGACCTTGGTCAAAAAACTTAAGGAATTAGCCAAAGGTATTGAATATTTTAATTTGATTTTGTTTATTTGCTCTGCATGCCACATTTAATTATCGCCATTTAAGCACATGATAAAAAAAACGGTACCTTTCTTTACTCTGAAAAACCAGACGTACGTATAAACAAAATTATGATTGCATCAACGAGTTTAAATGTTTTTCTTTGAAACTTTACATGCAGCATGCAGTTAAATGCTTAAAATAAAAATGTTATAATATTTTTTTAATAAACGTCGATTCACACAGCCTAGGTCAAGTTTTCAGAAATAGGCAATAAATGTACTTAACTCACATTCTGCTTTGTTTACCATAAGATTTACCTGTTCGTAAGTGTATTTGGGCGCGCCGTCCAGCCCGCCGTACAACTTGTGGTATTTGTGAGGTTCGTACGACTCGTAGAAGCGGTGGTACCATCTCCTCAGTCCCTCCTTGGTGGCGAACGACGCGTGGGGTCAAATTCCCCAATTGGCATTGCCTTTTATATTGCTTAACATAAGATTTACCTTTTCGTATGTGTATTTGGGCGCTCCGTCTAGCCCGCCGTAGAACTTGTGGTATTTGTGAGGTTCGTACGAGTCGTAGTAGCGGTGGTACCATCTCCTTAGTCCCTCCCTGGTAGTGGGCCAGGTGTGGTAAGCGGGCACCGGGTCGAGTTCTACCACGCGGGTTATTATCTCGGGGTACGCTATGTTGTAAATCTTACCTGCAATAAAAGGTGTATTGAGAAAAACTTTTTAACAAAAATATTCAATCGCCGAAAAGGAAAAAATAATAAACCTTTTATACTGTGGCGGCGACATCTATATGCCCCACATATATACAACGGATGGAGGAAATCATTACTCACCATCCTCAAGAGATGGCGTTACCTGCACTGCGATCATAATAGTATGGAAGCCTACATCGCGCAAATGAAATTCGGAAGCTAACTCTTCATATCGAGCCCTTACCGCCAAATTATCGTAAGCGACATTCGCCAAATTATCGTAAGCGACACTTTTGTCGAAATGCGTTTTTTGTGGAAACTAATATTTTAAACCGTAACGGACCCATCTCTGTTGATATTTTCCTCCAAAAGAACACCGTTATAATATAATAGAGGGAAGAATAGAGGGAAATATCAACAGAGATGGGTCCGTTACGGTTTAAAATATTAGTTTCCACAAAAAACGCATTTCGACAAAAGTGTCGCTTACGATAATTTGGCGAGTGTCGCTTACGATAATTTGGCGGTAAGGGCTCGATATATACGATGCCCGACCAACATCAGTCGGGCCGCGGCCCCCGAGCTACCATCACCCAGCTCGGAGGAAGATCTTCCCCTTTGGCCTTCCTACAATATCTTTAGTCAAATTATTATTTGAAGTCAAAACAGAGTTAATATTTTGGGTAAAGTGAAAAATACTCACCAACAATAGTCCCAAACGAGTGCGCCACATACATGAACTTCTCCCAGCCGTAATGTTCCTTAACTATACTTATCACCGGCACATAGTCCATCACTGTGAACCGCACACCTCGTGGTAGAGGGTCCGAGCGACCGTTGCCCGGTAAGTCTATCGCCACGTAGTAGAATGAGCGTGGTAGGAGGGCGACTAGGGACCGGAAGCTGGAGCACACGTCCAGCTTGCCGTGGACCAGTAGCACGGGGGGGAGGGAGCTGTCGCCCCATGTTAGTCCTGGAGAACAGAAAAATGCAATTAAAAATCATTTGCATTATCATCATAAGCCTATTAATGTTCCCACTGCTGGAGCACAGGCTTTCCCTGTCGAGGGAACAGGGAGACTGAGTCTTGACCCACCACGCGGGCCCAGTGCGCATTAGTGGGTGCCAACGACTGCAAATGCAGTTCGCCGAGAGGGTGTCTATCAGAATACATTTTTTTTAAATCAATTTTCATTTAACCGAAAACTATTCTACGATTTTTAATATATTTTTATTCGATTCATCAATTTTTAATCATCGCTGTTTTATATCATCGAAAAACGTTTCTTGAATAAAATCTTTAAGTTGTTTTGTTTACCAGTAAAACGATATATCGAACTTACATTTCGTTAGACTGTTAAGTTATCGATAAAACTATTCGTAAAAACATGTTACAATAAATGTGTCGACACCCATATAGTATATTTCATTACTAGTACGGAATGGTTGTCATTGCAAAGAGTTCCGACAAATGTCTACCCGAGCCGAAGGCGAGGGTTGACAGTCGGAACGAGTTGCAATGACGGTTCCGTACGTGTACTGAACGACTATTTTTAATACAGTTGCGAAAAAATGAAGCAATTTAATCAAATTATAAAAACACAATAAACTCAATTAACTAATCATTTATTTCTTATAAAAGTTATAATTCACATATACATTGAAATTGGTACAGTTTTTTATACTAACTGGGGAAGTTTTACGTTGCATATTTACTGTTTGAGACAAACTATTATTAATTTAGTATGATTGTTCATGTATATTTGTCATACAATGGCGTTTGCTAGTTGATGGAATTGGATCTGATGAATTATCATTATCAACGAAGGTACTCGTAGATGGACGAACGTTCTCTTCAGCATGTGAAGGAGACGGACTGGACCTTAAATTAATGGATTGTGTGATCTTTTTCCCAGTTTCTAGTTTGTTGTTTAATGAATCACCAATATAGCTTTCTGCAACTTTGTCCGATTTCCAACCACCTAGTCGCTTTAAGGACGTCAAATTGGCTCCTGAATCTGCCAATAATGTAGCAGAGGTCCTTCTGAAGCTGTGCCCAGAATAACACTCAGCATCCGGCAGACCAAGAAACATAGCTATTTCTTTTGGCATATTACCAAATTTGTTTATGCCGATTACTTGAGCTGTACACTTCCCTTTTTGGAAATTTTGAAAAAAACGGTCGGATTTTCCTTTTTGGGACCGCTGGTTCATATATTTTTTCACTATTGTGAGAAAATCTCCTTCAACAACAAAACTTCGCGGTATCTTATTTTTTGTGTTTGGAATCTTGATAAGTAGCATTTCTCCATGGGCTTCAATATCTTTTAAAGTAATATTGGCTAACTCCTCTCTGCGGCAAGCTCCAACAACGCCAAAAATCAGAGCAACCTAAAAAAAACGATTTGATTCATATAAATAATGTATTGACTGTATTTTGCGATTTTGTAAACTGAACACTAAAGAAAAATGTAGATATGTATACTTATTAATAAATTACCTTTGTGGCTAAATAACAATCATCGGGAGCTTCTTTCAAAAACCTTTCCACGTCATTCGATGTTAATATTTTCGACTTTTTACTGGTAAACCCATCTGATTGTCGTTTTAAGAAAGAATTTAATTTTGGATATTGACTTATATCCACGTTGTTCCTTATTTTCAGCATACTTTTTATCATCGAAAACCTTGACCATAACGTAGAAGGTTTTAATTTTGCTGAGAGTTCGGAAAAGTATGCCAACATAACATTTTCTGAAAAACTATTTGCTTTTTTCTCTTCTTTCCACGCAATAAATTCATCGTATGTAGATATGTAGCGAATTTTTGACTTTTCCGGTAAAATGTTCTCCGAAGCATTTTGTGCAATTATACTGAGTTCCGGTGGAGTTAATTCAAAAAAATTTAGGTCGAAATTACTCATTTTGTGTAAAAAACAACTAAACTCGCAAAGAAAATTTCGGAAAATGGCGCCAACCGTAGAATGTAAGCAGTTTTTTTCACCCATTCTGATAGGCAAAGGGAACTGCCCATACAGCCAAGTCTTTAGTACTTAGTATTTTTTATTATAAGAAATGAAATTGAAATTTAATGATATGAAATGAACTGAAACCTTACCTAACTCATTCAATCAATTAATTAATTCTGATATTGGACAAATTAGTATAGGTAGGTTCTTTTTAAAAACAAATAAACCTATTTGCATGAATCGCAAAAACTTCTATGATTTTTTTTAGTTAAAACTTCATGGTTGTTTTTTTTTAATAGAAATAATTTTGACAGTTGGGAAAGAAAACGCACGAGTTCGGGAAAGGCAAAAAAAAAGCACGAGTGTGAAATAGCCCAGATCCCGAACGCTACACGTCCCTGCAATACGCCACTTTTTGAGCAACTGTATTAAAAATACTTTTTCACATAACAACTTTTGATCGCAGTAACGTTTCATCGAATGACGAATAATTTTTGTTGAAAAGGTATCTTTTTTTTTGTTATGCTATCAACGCTAACCCAAACTAACCTAGTTTGAAGTATCACCACTTGGGCTCTGGAAGTACAGTTTAGCCCGCCTCGCCCCTCCGCGCCTACGCTACCACCATCCGATTTGACGCCCACCGAGCTTACACCCGAACCGACACCGCAAACAAAGAGACACGCTAGAGCAACTCCAACCCCGGAAGTCGCCGACAAGCGAGCATGCCACCCGCGCGACCCGTGCCTGCACCGCTCGCTCATCATCGGCGACCGACCGGAGTCCCAAGACCAGCCGCTGAACACCACGAAGTCACCTCTACCGCCGCAGGTGATTTCCGTCACACCCTCAACCCAGTCACAACGAGAGCCGAGAAAAAAATTTGCCAACCCACCCTCCCACAACCACCTACGCACAGGCCGCCACCACTACCTCGGCCCAACCTGCCACCACGACAGCCGCCCATCCATCAGCTATGCCGCCCGCCCAAGCCGAAGCAGCCCGCCCAAGCCCGAGAACTGCCGCTACGACCGACGGAGCCGCTCCCACCGCTCCGAGGGAACGTAAGTTCCCTCCGCTGGTGGTCGAGTACCTGCCCGACTGGCCCACGCACTTTCGGGCCATACGCGAAAAGCTTGGAAGAGCCCTAAACGCACGCCCCTTTGGAGTGGGGGTGCGTTTCACACCAGAGGACGCAAACGAATATCGACAAATACAGGCCTACCTTACAGACCTTGAAGGATTGGGGGGCCTCAGTTGGTACTCATACGCATTGCCGGAAGTGATAAGTTTAAAGGTCGCTATTAGAGGACTCCCGTTTAACACTGAACTGGCGCACGCCCCTTTGGAGTGGGGGTGCGTTTCACACCAGAGGACGCAAACGAATATCGACAAATACAGGCCTACCTTACAGACCTTGAAGGATTGGGGGGCCTCAGTTGGTACTCATACGCATTGCCGGAAGTGATAAGTTTAAAGGTCGCTATTAGAGGACTCCCGTTTAACACTGAACTGGCGCACATTGTCGAGGCCCTACCGGAAAAGGGCTTCCAATGTGAACACATTAAACGTATTCGAGCCCGAGCCAGCCGTCCTGGCTGTATCTACTTTGCAGCCCTTACCAAGACAAAAAACACCATCCCCGCCATTTACGAGCTCAAGGAGCTTCTTTTCATGACAGGGATCATGATAGAGGCCTGGCGTGGTAAAAAAGGCCCTGTGCAATGTTACCGTTGCCAGGGCTTCCGCCATTCCTCTAAGGGATGTCATCGCCCCATAGCATGCGTTCGCTGTGGCGCCGCACACGCCGCCGCCGACTGCCCGCGCCCACGGTCGGAGCTCGCGGCCTGCGCCAACTGCGGCGGACCGCTTTCGGCGAATCACAGCTCCTGCCCGGCCCTAAGAAAAGAGGCCCACAACCCACAACCGCGACTACGGTGGCCAAGACAGGCCCCGTCACAAACGCAACAATACAAAAAAAATAGGTAAGCGAACACGCGCCGGCCACACTCATGGCCCCCGCCAATGCGCCACCCGCCCATGTTGAAACCACTACCTCTCAACGCAGCCGCAAGAAGAAAAAGGGGGCGACGCACCGCCTCTAAAGGAGGTACCGAAAATCAACCCGCGGAACCACCACAGAAAACATCATCTGCGCTTGTAAGTAAACAAACAGGCAACGACACAATGCAACGCCTGCTCGCCTTCGCCGAGCAATTTCAACAAGGCCTCCTAAATATAGTCAAACAAAATTCGCAGGCCTAAGATTTGTTCATTGGAACGACCAATCGCTCGGTAGGAAACGCCGCATGTTGATTCACTTTCTACGCAAGCACAACGTGGACATCGCTCTACTGAGCGAAACTAGACTGGCCCTCAATATACAATTTCGCATCCCAAATTATACTACATACAGGCAAGATCGAAGCTGACCAACCAGCGGAGTGGCCACTAGAGGTCTAATGGTCCTAGTACATCGCAGAATCATCCACCAGCCTGCACCCCCTGCACATCTTACCACAATGCGCGCACTCGGAATAGACCTGTTGCTCGGCGGTCACGAGATTCGAGTCTACGCGGTTTATAAACCGGTTCCTTACTCGATATCGGTGAGTTAATACAGCTTCTGCGCCCGCTACCTACCATCTTGGCGGGCGATCTAAACTCAAAACACACCGCTTGGCACTCCACCACCGTTAACGTGTCGGGCCTCGGGCCCCTCCGAGCCGACGCGACATGACCCAGCGGGAAGAGTTGACGACTACCTAGATATAACAATCCACCGCGATATCGACGGTCTCATTACGCAGGAGGTAATGCTAGACCTGCCTTCCGACCACCGCCCTGTCCTGTGCACCATAAGCACCCACACGCGTGATGCCTCCCACTCCGCGTGCAAGTGTCAATTGGGACGCCTTCCAGCGAGACGCAGACAAAAACACAACAACGCGGCCCATGCATACCACAGACGACATCGAAGCGACAACCAGTGAGTTCACAACCGTGATATACAATCTGCGTTAAAAACATCGACCCGCACTCGCCCCGCCGCAGAGGGGAGTCGCCCCCCCCCCCCCCTCCTCCCGCAAAGCAAACGATTTCACGAGTATTTGGCAGGATTTCATCGAGTGTGGTTGGCGTCTTATTTTAATTATTCTTTAATTCGTTCATAGTGGATATTGTGAAATAAAATTGGTGTGATTTTGTGTTATAACTGTCTGCACAACTGAAGAATTAGTGGAATATTTAAAATATACACTATTGTGGTCAAGTGGACATGAGAACTTTATTGTAGTGTTGACTACCTCACCGAAGCTTATCGAGAAAGCTGACTCGATACTTTTCATGCCAAACACTCCGAGAAACATTATAAATGCGTCACACCCACATTCTAATGTAAAACAGTGTTCATTGGCTGAACGCACAAACCGTGCATGCCATAAAAAAAGAAAAAAAATCGATTTCATGTCGTTCCAGAGTAATCAACAAGAAACGTGGGAAACTTTTTTCTTTTTGTATTGACGCAAAAGTAATTAGATGTTACATGAAATTAATTTGATTCATTTAAACAAAGTTCTTTATTAAATTTATAAACACTTTTCCAGTCAAAATGGGGTGATTTGAAAAAAGTTATTTAAAATTAATTCTACAAAACTGGTATCAGGACACACCAGAGTAATAAATTTTTGGTAGATGGCGATTTTTTTTTTGATGTACTTATAATAAAGTTAGGCACTATTATGTATATGTCCAAGGTATACTGCATGCCAAACTACAATAAACAATATTTTGAATTACAAATTTATTTTAAGAAACCTAGTTTCTCCAAGCATTCGCTATTTTTTTTCGTTTGGAGAAGTAGCCATTAACTAGACACGTACCGTGTAAAACAAAACACTATATAAGATAAGTCTCACCAAAAATAATAATAATTACTTCACAAAAAACAAAATTTAAAGAATGCTATCAGCAACAAAAACATACCGACAATCGTGCCCCAAGGCGCTTGAATACTAAACTCTTTTTCGGTTTCGTCTATATGCATTTTCAAAATGGAACTTCAACTGTTTTATTTTTTAAATAAAGACCTGAACTTTTTTTAATTTTCAAAATATGGTAAAATGTTTATTATAGCCTCTATTCTCTATACAGGCAACAAGTATACAGACTACTAATTGGTAGGCGCGAATGATACAGCGAAACGATAATCTTTATTACGTACCATGACGTCAAGATAGTGAATGACACATCATTTTAGCACAACGATTGGTTAATAGTGTTTATGAACTTTGGACGATCTTATCATAAACATTACATTTTGATTCTCATATTTCTAAAGCAATGAGTAATTGAACTTTGAGCAATACTTTTTAATCACTAGTGTAGTGTGGTTTAATTGATTTCCCACAAAACATATTTTCCATACATTCCATTTAATTTTTTTATTTTCTATTTTCCAAAGAAACTTCACCACCTTTTCACCACATTATACATGATAATTTCTGGCATAAAAACAATCCTTTTAGGGTTCCGTAGTCCTGACAAGGAACCCTTATAGTTTCGTCAATCGTCATGTCCGTCTGTCCGTCCCCGGTTTTGCTTGGAAACTGTTAGCACTAGAGAACTATAATTTTGTGGAGATATGTATATCGCTTTAGCGACCAACTTCATGCGTTACTTTTGTGTTTACCGCACATTAAGAAAATCTACCAACAAAATAGAAATAGAATCTCTATTTAATGGGTGCTAACGACTGCATTGTGAAGGCCTATCAAAAGTATTTATTAATCTGGAACAACGGAACCAAAGCGCGATTCAGGAGACTACAGCGCCATCTCTTGACCATTGGTGTAGTAGAACCAAAAACAACATCTTTTTTTTTGTAATAAAGTAACAAAAAGTATTTATTAATCTGGAACAACGGAACCAAAGCGCGATTCAGGAGACTACAGCGCCATCTCTTGACCATTGGTGTAGTAGAACCAAAAACCACATCTTTATTTTTTGTAATAAAGTAACAGTTGTAGGTATTCATATTTATAATATTTATCCACATGTTTCTAGTTTGTATATTCGGAATACGTGTTTGAGTTTCATACAAGTGCAAATCACATATGTTCTAATAAATTATATTCAGTAGCGATTTTAATTGAATATTTTGATTATTTATTTATTTTTTCAAATTAAAACTGAACTTTATTGACTGTGTCCTTTTCCAGACTTTTTATTAATTTATTGTAATTAATTATTTGCATGCAATTAAAAACTAATTTTAAACGATGCCAAAGAAGGATAACTTCTCACGCGCCTACATAAGTACACGCACCCATTTTTTTTTTCCTTTATTTCAAAGACTATTTTTCGATGTAGGGATCCGTTTGCGAAATATTGAACTTTAAAGTGCTATTTTTTGTTCGTGTAGGGTGCGGGGGCCCCTTCTAAAAGCTAAGCTTTAAAAACCTTTTTTTTTTGTCTGGGAAATGCTTTGCGCCCTTGGGCCGGGTGAAATGAGCAGGGCCCTACCTAACGCCCTGAACAGGGCCACTAAAAACCAGACAATACTCCTGCACCGGTCACCCGGCGTACATTCTGAGGACCGCAGTCCCCCCAATGCACGCCGGGAGTGCGGGTGTGGTCGCGGCAACCGTTGCCGACTGTCCGCGCACCCTGGCTTTAAAAACCTGTAAAAACTCATGATAATGGTGCTTTTTATAAACTTTTCATTAAAATTATAACGGTTAAAATATATACGTTACTTTAAGATTAATAGTCCTTCAATTTATGTATTAGAAAATTTCTGACCTAGTAAAAATTCTTTAGAAGAAAACATCAAAAAATGACTTAGACAAAGTAATTGCTTAAAATCTACTCTTTCCAAAATACATTGACGTGGTGACGACGAGCAACTACGGAACCCTACACTGCGCGTGGCATGACACGCACTTGGCCGGTTTTTTTTTAATGTTAAAAGGGTGGCAAAGACTCTACGTCCCGCCTAATGGCCAGCGACTAAAATAGCTTATAGAAAGAAAGACGCTTGCGACACCAGAATTATTACTGGCACCTAGTGTTGCCAGGTCCGATTTGTTTTAAATCGGTACATGAGCACAAAAAATCAGGATTTAGGGTTGTACATCGGGACAGTAAACAAAAAGTAAGGGGTTTTTAAGTCTGGGTTTAATTTATTGCATTTTAAACTACTATAGTACAAGTATAGTATTATATTAATTACCTGAATTTCATATTTTGATTAATCGGGATATTTAGCGTCCCGATCAGGTACAAATCGGGACGCGTCCCCAGATCCCTGAAAATCAGGACGTCCCGGGCAAATCGGGACACCTAGCAACACTACTCGCACCGTGTTGCCTACCCGGAGCTTTTGGCGGGATTTCATCGAGTGCGGTTGGCGTCTTATTTTAATTATTCTTAAATTCGTTCATAGTAGATATTGTGAAAAAAAATTGGTGTGATTTTGTGTTACAACCATCTGCGCAACTAAAGAATTAGTGGAATCTTTAAAATACATGCTATTCCGGTCAAGTGGACGTGGGAACTTTATTATAGTTTCCACGTCCACTTGACCGGACTACCTCACAGAAGCTTATCGATAAAACCAACCCGATACATTTCGTGCCAAACACTCCAAGAAACATTAGAATGCATCACACCGACATTCTAATGTAAATAAAAAAAGAAGATTAAGATTTGTATTTATGTATGCGACTGAAGGACTTGTATCCATGGTCATGGATATTAAAAAAAAAGTTGTCTACCCCGACCCAATTATTTTATAATAGGTTTATTTGATTATATTTGTAAGTTACTCTTACTACATTTTTGGTAAACAGTGATTTGTTATTCGCTAATTTATACGTACTTATTCTTATTTTGTTTATAGGTAGAGAATTTTTTGGAGTTTTTTTTTAAAACACACCCATTAGCCTAGCCCCAAAGTAAGCACTGTAAGGCCGTTATGGGATACTAGGGTAACGGATAGAATACATATACAGTACATATATAAGTATACTTATATAGAAATACATATTAAACATCTATGACTGGAGTACAAATGCTCGTATTCATCACACAAACATCTGCCCCCACCGGCGTCGGCGACACCATTAAAACCCGGCGTACAAACCACTCGGCCACGGAGGTCGTTAATAGCTATGATTGCACTATTTGCATTACCTACTAGGCTGGTAGCAGCCTGATTGATAGGTGGAAATACTCTTTATTCGAGCTTTACACTACCAATTAAAAGATAGACCAGAAAGACTGCATGCGACCTTTAACTGGTGAACGCTTTAAAAGAGAACGACAATGATGGAAATATATAAATTGGTAGACAAAATAATAAATGAAATTGCTATGACGCTGTACCTAACGCTATGAAAATTTTATACTACTCGTATGCCTTTAGTTTAATCAAATATTATAAACTTTGCTTTGGTGATTATTTAATTTAGCGATCTTAGGCAGTTGCCACCAGTGTCCAAAATAACAGACGGGAATTATTACTTTTGTCAACTTGCAACATTAACGTCATTGAATGGTATTGTATATAGGGTGATTAACAACGTTTGAAGTTTATTCATTAATTAAATTTTTCATAAAAACTAAGTACAACACTTAGGTATTTCTATTCTGCCAGGTCGGCAGGACCTCTCATGGGCGATGCATAATAATTTTTGTACTTATCTCACTATATTTATGAATAGGTACCTTAAAAATGCCCCTATAGCATGACCACCGAAACGGATATGATAAAGCGATATATCGGCATTAACTGTCAGATTACAGTGGAGTTTAACAGTTGAAACTCGATAAAAAGCTTTATCATATCCCGTTTCAGTGGTCATGCTAGAGGGGCTGAAACGAAAAATATTTAAATCATCCCAAAAAAAAATCAGTAAATGATCACCAAACAAACACAGCTGATAACCTGAGATTCAGGTTTACTTTAGCAATGTTAGCAACCTCAAACCCCTGAGGATCATCCGCTATTCCCTCGGAGATCATTCCAACATGTGCCATCGATAACCTAATTAGGTACATATGTTTAAAATTTATATCTTTCTTCATGCAAAAACGGCTGAACAGATCTGCTTCTTGAATTGGCATGCATATGGCATGACTATTTGTTGCCTGTTATATTTACGTACTTATATACTTGTATATACATACATGCACACAAAATATACAACAATATATAATGTGATTCAAATAAGAATAGGAAAGACAATGACCTCCATCTGTCAAATGTCGAAAGTACGATTTGCAAAAAAATCTCGGAACACTTTTTCAGCAATCAGCTGATTCTAGAATAAAATCAAACATTTTTAAACAAACAATAACAAATGTTGATACTTAATATTAGTTTTTTTTTTCATTTATTGAGCTTTGCCTATGAATGGTTGATAACCTAAAACATCAACCAAATGTCACTTTATGATGCCTTCAAAAACTCGATTTAAAACTTCCGTTTACATTACATGCAAGATGCATGTTCGTATGAGACCTGCATGATTATTCACAACTTCTCGGGCGGTAATGCAGAGATGAGCGAAATTTAAGAGCTAGATTCTGATTAATGTTTTTTCACACATTCTTAATAAAGAAATAGTATTAAAAATCGGTTTGTGTTCTTTCTCAACCTTAGTAAATTAAATTTATTAAAAAAAATGATACATATTTTGTCTTAATCTTAGTAAATAAGTTTTATCAAATAGCAAATTTTTTTCAACACTCTACCTATTTGGTTTGAATTGACAGCTATGACGTCAAAATATGGCGCCCAGTCTGTCCTATTCTTAGTTGAATCGCTTTATACACACGCACGCGCATGCGTACTTATACCTACATACACACACAGGGACAGAGTGTTAGGTAATATTTCTATAGATAATTTTTTAACTGTTTTTGCTAGAAATACTGCTTAATAAGTTAGCTCGTTCATAATAACGGGCATTAAGTAACGCCTTCCACGTCTCCCATAATAATTATTTACTTTAGGCATAACTAATATAGGTATCTTAGAACCACGGGTAAAACTCCAGCATCTACATATTTGGTTTCCGTGAATTATATAGGTAAAACGAAGAATAGACACTGCATTTGTGTAAATCACAATGTTAACGCGCGCCGGACGCTGACAATGCAGTCACTGGTAATTTCAGATAGTTGACCAATTAAAGTAAATGAATTTTATATTTACTCCTAAACTACTTGATAGCACAGCACTGCTGGGTATCAAACACGACTGTTACTAGTGTTGCCAGGTGTCCCGATTTGCGCGGGACGTCCCGAATTTCAGGGTTCTGGGGACGCATCCCGATTTGTACCTAATCGGGAAGCTAAATGTCCCGTTCCCGATTAATCAAAAAATGAAATTCATGTAATTAATATAATACTATACTTCTGACGACCTCCGTGGCCGAGTGGTTTGTACGCCGGGTTTCATGGCGTCGCCGACTCGAGAGGTCCCGGGTTCGAATCCCGGTGGGGGCAGATGTTTGTGTGATGCACGAGCATTTGTACTCCAGTCATGGATGTTTAATATGTATTTTTATATGAATATACTTATATATGTAAAGTTTATGTATTATGTCCGTTACCCTAGTATCCCATAACACAAGCCTTATAGTGCTTACTTTAGGGCTAGGCTAATTGGTGTGAGTGTTGGAAATATTTATTTATTATTTATTATACTTGCAGTAATAGTTTAAAACGCAATTAATTAAACCCAGACTATAGGGTTTTTAACCCTTTGTTTTTTGTTTACTGTCCCGATCTGCAACCCTAAATCCCGAGTTTTTTGACCTCATGTACCGATTTAAAACAAATCGGACCTGGCAACACTAGTTGTTACTAACCTTGAATGTAAGTCACGAAGGTTTACAAAATAATTACCTATTACCTAAGTATTACATTGTTTTATTCCATAGGTAGGTACTGCAGTCTATTGTTTTATATTTTTAAGTCTAATAATAACCACCATCATCTAGTAATAATATAATCATATATAATAATATATCCTATGTACAAGTGCATTAATTGTAAGTATATTGTGTTATCACAATCTTAATAACTTCCATAATGCCCGGTTCTTATATTCAACGTTCCGTTAATATGACTCTTAACTCATTGATAGTTGTTGTTCTCGAGCCACAGTAACGGTTAAGCATTTGTGCTCAATTTTTTCTAATCTTTCTGAGGCGAAACTGAAAGAAGTTATTTTTATTGGGGAACTAATTTTTTGAGCTGTTTTTTAAATATTCAAGATATAATTACGATCAATTGAAAAACATATTCAGCTGTTATTTAATTTAATGGCGGTTGATTAATCATTGCGACAGAAAAACATGGACAGTAATAGAAAATCAATTAGTCGGTTATTTTATCATACAATTTCAATTCTAAAAATAATTGAGCAGTCCAATAACTGAATGAGCGGTAAAAATGATGGAATGGGCGGAAAAGAGAGGAGGAAAGCGTGACCTGCTCTTCTTATACAATAAGTTTATTTTAGCTGCTACTAAGCAAATTCTATGACATTTTAATTACTTAAATATGTCTCGAATTACGAATAAAAGTTCCTATTATTTTATTATATACAATTTGTTTTATTTAATTCCTTCTGTCAAAGCAAAAGTAATTTAATTTTTCATTACTATTTAAGTACTGTTTTTTTATTTTATTCTAATACCTCATTGTTTATAGAATTGCTTAAAATGAGATTTCTTACCGACAATTCCGATTTATTACTGCCCACACGTAACCGCACGTTCAATAATTTTTACCGCCCATTTAATTATTTCCTGCAAAAATATATATTCACTATCGATTACATATTTTTTATTACTCATTTTTGTTTACTTTACTGCTTAGTTTTAATTGCTGAACTAGATATTAAACGTGCCATTTATAATTTTTAACTTAACAAAACTGCTATTTACAGCTGCCTTTTTAAATCAGTACCTTTTTATTGGACCACAAACCAAAAAAATGTTGAAAGGTGAGGTCTTTCGGATACTGAAAGATCTGCTTGGAATTCACTACGACTTGTTAAAGAGTTTTTGGGCAACAAAAAATAAAATTACAAACAATTGCTGATTTATTACATAATTTTCAACAAATGGGTGTCAACATGTCTCTAAAATTCATTTCCTTCATTCGCACCTTCATTTCTTCCCTGAAAACCTCGAAGAAGTCAGCGAAGAACATGGAGAGCGTTTTTATCAGGATATGAAATTTTTTGATCAAAATTATCAAGGGCATTGGTACCAAGCCATGTTAGATAATTATTGCTGGTCTGTTATAAGAAACACGAACTCAAATAAATACAAGAAAAAAGCTAAGGCAATTAATTCATTTATAATTTTATTTTTTAAAGTCATCATTATAAATTATTATCCTGGAAACGTTTTCCGAACATAGTTTAATTTTTTGTCTATTTTCAGCGTAGTTTTTATTTAATACCATCTAAATATAAATATTTTTTTAAATATTTTTGTAGGCATTTTTTGTAAATCAAAAATAACAATTATTTTGGAAATGTGACGTGTTGGATTTTTTTTCATATTTTTTTTTAATCTCGGTTCATCTCAAATAGTAACAAAAAGCATGTAAACTGGTATTATTAATAAAACTGCCTTTTGACAAGTATAAAAAATCGTTTTTTAAACTCGTTCAATAGCAGCGGAATTTATTATGGTGTGCGTGAAAACTTTATAAGAAATGAATACGATAATAATTTTCCTATTCGTCGTCAAGTATCATTTTTAAATGTTAGGTTCTTGGAACAGGTAGTTTATCGTATAACGGACTTAGAAATTCATCCGTGAACTGAATTCTGAACTTAAACTTACCAGCGAACTATTATGCAACAAACATAGCTGAAGAACTTGCGCATTAAGTATGCGTATGGATATTTCAAAACCCCAATGATCTAATTCAATTAAATTTAATAATTCTTTATCATCTAATATAATTGTTTTATCATGTTTGTTTATCTGTACTTTGCGCTAATATGTATTCTGTGGTTCTACGTGTTAGACGTGTTTCTTTTTATCATGACATACAAAGATAATAATATGGATCAGTCTATATAACAATTTGTATCGGACATTAAATTAAAATCTTAGACAAACCTGAAGAAGAAATTCAATACATCGTTAATTTTTATTAACATAATGTTAAGAGTTTAGAATGTGTTGTGAGAGTACCGTATTTTGTTTTTAAAATTGTTGGAGGACAATGTCAAAGAAAATAACTAAAGAATGGTGTGTGGATACTGTGTGGGGAAAAGTTGCCAGTAAGTATCAATTATATTTCTTAATTTTCTTTAATTTATATTATTTTTAAAGTCGCAGTTTTTTTGGTGCCCACAAACAAAGTCAGCGTGCATGCGGACGTTTGTACTGTATTTTATTCTAATAATTTCGGGTTCCTGACAGATTTACCTATATTTATATATTTGACGACCTCCGTGGCCGAGTGGTTTATACGCCGGGTTCCATGGTGTCGCCGACTCGAGAAGTCCCGGGTTCGAATCCCGGTGGGGGCAGTTGTTTGTGTGATGAATACGAGCATTTCTACTCCAGTCATGTCATGGATGTTTAAATATGTATTTCTATATAAATATACTTACATATGTACAGTATATGTAGTCTATCCGTTACCCTATAATATCCCATAACACAAGCCTTACAGTGCTTACTTTGGGGCTAGGGTAATTGGTGTGAGTGTTGGAAATATCATTTATTTAAATATTTATGAGTGTTGGAAATATTTATTATTTATATTATTACGTAGCTTTAAATTGTTGCAGAGTTTCTATTTGGAAATCATCCTTTTGTTTATGAATAAACTTATAGCTGGTGAAAAATATTAAAAAGTAGCGGCCGCCCGCGATTTCCTCCGTTTTAACTGTAGTGTTTTAAGAATCTCAGAGGAATCTAACATTTTTCTAGGGTCTATGTCTTAAACTAGGCATAACATTCAAAGTAACAAAGAGAAAAAGAGAAGAGAAGGACATAAGAAGGAGATAGAAAGCCTCTCTGAGTTTGTTTCGCCGGTTCTTCTCAGAAAAGTCTCCCAATTTTGGAACCGGTGGTAGTTTACGGTAGTTCGGGTCAAGCAAATAACTCAAAATTACAAAAAAAAAAAAAATAAGTAAAGTACTTTATTAACTAAATTAGCTAATGAATTCATACATAGACAATAAAGTTTTAAAAATCTTCCAATGAAATATCCGAACGCTCAATAAAAGTCTAACTTACTAAAAATGGATGAAATAAACACAGAACCTCCTCATTTTTTGAAGTCGGTTAAAAATATTAAACAAAAATAAAATTCAAAATCGAAAATGAAACTAAAATTACACGTGTTTAATTTTAATTACTTTGAAAATTTCCAATTAGTATGTAGATCGTTCGTGTTTTATGTAACTGTTTCAAAACTGTTACTGATATCCCATTAAATTAATTGGTAGATAAATTGCATAAGATATGAATATTATAACCGTTAGCAGAGGCTGGATTGCTGAGGCTTAGTAAAAATATCTTGGTTATCAATAAACGAGTTATCAATTACAAGAGCAAAATAAGTGACAAGTAAAAATCAAACAGAAAATCAAACTATGAAATTTAAAAAATATGGCACTAAAGAAAAGTTAAATAGAAAAAAATCCACGCCGGACCAGGGGGCCAATCGCCTAACTGGATTGCTTTGGAAAACGCTATCGCTTACGATTTCATTTTGTTATTTCTAGCCCCCTGAGGTTTTCAAATGCCTCGCGCTCTTTTTTTTTCTTTTACATTGGTAATAACAATGTTAAAGAAAATGAGCGTGAGGTATTTCGGCGGTTAGAAATAACAAAATGAAATCGTAAGCGATAGCGTTTTCCAAAGCAATCCAGTTAGGCGATTGGCCCCCAGGCAGCGGACGGGACTCGAGCCGTCATCCTTCGCTATCCGGGCAAATGCACTGACCATTATGCTACCGCTGCCCTGATGGCCGCGTCGAACTTTCTCTGGCCTTAGGCTGCAAGGCAGCACCATCTCTTCGCATTGTAGGTAACCCACAATAATAATATAATTCGCAATAATAATTATATACACACACCAAAAAAAGTTCGAGATCTCTTGCAAAAGCTGATATATTTTCAAAATTTAACTTAATCAAGAGAAAAAATTCTGAAATTAAAAAATAAAACTATTTTTTTTTTGTATAAAAAATTCAATATTTCAATCCTAAGGCGATTGTAATAGTTTAACCATACTTATGAAACTTTTTATTAATAAATTGTTGTTTATCTAATACAAAATAAACTAATAATAAAATAAATAACTCCTCCTCTGGCTCGAACACATACGGAGATCCTCCTGGTCATGTTGAGGATCAAGTTATCCAGCATTTCTTGTGGTAACCTCTCCCATTCTTGAACAGCAGCTTCCCTGAGCTACGGCACTATCTGGGGTGGTGGCTGCCGGTTCCAAACGGCTCGCTTAAGAGCATCCCACGCGTGCTCTATTGGGTTTGAGTCAGGAGAGCCGGCAGGCCAGTCTAATCTGTGATTTCGTATTCTTGGAGAGCAACATTGGCTCGTTGAGCTCGATGTGCGGGCGCACTATCGTCAACCAGTACAAATTGGTGCCCATAGTTTACTCGGAAAGGTCTGATGATTCCATTAATAGCGACTGTTTTGTATCTAGCCCTAGCCCCAATCATAATACCACCCCAAAAGGACACTGATTTCCCGTCTTGTCCAGCCTTGTGTAAGCAATTCCGAATGGTCTAGCTGCTTACTTCAAGTCCGGAGGCGGCTGGCATTTTTGCTTTTAATTTAGTGGCGTTTATTGTTGGATCGCGGGCTACCAGCAACCTGATGTAGCGCTTCTGAGCAGCTGTCAAAACAGTTGGCCGACCGCTGCGGGGCCGACCAGCTCAATTACCCATGCCGTGGTACCTCTGCAACGTGGTTACTACACAGGATTGGGATATGGCAACTCTGCGTGCTAATTCTCTCGTATCTCGTATAAGGCTATCCGCCTTATTCCCTCAAAGTTACAAATCTGGCTTGTAAAACATCTAATAATCCTCGTGGCATTATTTTAAATCACAACTTTCCGTGAAAAATATTTTGAATTCGATAATATTGTTTTTCTGATTTGTGAATGAGTGTCAGCTTGGATTAAAATTTAGAATCTTATCAGAAAAAGAAATTACAAAAAAGTCTTCTGTAACAAAAAAACCAATCTATTTTTCATAGTGATCGCAAACTTTTTTTGATGTGTGCATGTACAGTATATGTATTCTATCCGTTACCCTAGTATCCCATAACACAAGCCTTACAGTGCTTATTTTGGGGCTAGGCTTTTTTGGTGTGAGTGTTGAAAATATTTATTTATTTATCAAGCAGTTAAATGCTTAAAAAATAAGAATATAAATATGACACTGTCATATAAATAACGAAAAAGTCTTTAACAAATATGTATCTTACTCGTATATGAAGGTCTGGAGATTAAAGGTCATTGCTATGGGTTAACATTCATACTTTGATCTTGAAGTATTTATAAACTTTTTTGTGTCATACTGGTTTGCCTTGAACTTGGTTTTGAACTTTACAACTAACACAAAATTACGTTCTACTGTACTTACGAAGACAGTTATTTCATTAGTTTATCTTATCGTCCGGTTATCGAGGAACTCGTTGGCGCAGGTGGTTAGCCCGTTTGGCCTGCGATCGTGGAAGTTAAGAAACTTTCGCAATGGTCGGTCATTGGATGGTTGACCAAAAACTTATTATCTCGAACTACTCTCGGTCGGAAGGTGTTAAGTCAATGGTCTCGGCTGCATCTACAGTTTTTAGTATCCACCAATCCGCATTGGGCCCGCGTGGTGGGACGGCCCAATCAATACTCCATGCATTTTTCCTTCTGAAATACAGACCCATAAATATGAATTCTTCTTAATTAGCCACGCCCTAACTTGACAACAAATTTTTAACGTTTTTAAATATATTATTAAGTAGAAATCTTATATGGAAAAAAATCAAAAAGTTTCGCTATACTAAAGTTAATCCTACTAATATAAGGAATATGAAAAATTGTCTGTTTGTGTGTTTGTATGCTTGTTACTCAACCACGCAAAATCGGCTGAACGGGTTTATATGAAATTTAAGATACGCTTAAAGTTTATAACCAGCCAGCCGGAGGCCTTTCTTGACATTTACAGTGTGTAACTAAAGAGAAAATTGCATATTCATCGATGTTTTTCAGAACAAGTATATTAGTGGCGCTATAATAAAGCACTAATGGATCACTAAATAGCTCGGTGATTATCACTTACATCTTTCAAAAGCAGTTACAGGTCGCGGCACGTGACTCTAGCGCTGAACAAAATGCGGAGGGGATAGCTGCGCATGGGTACGACTGGAGAGCCAATCGGCGCAACGCACGCCTTCGCACCTCTGTTTCCCCCCAACACATCTTAATTTTTACTTCTGCGCAATAACGGTCAGCGCTAGAGTTTCGTGCCTCGACTTATAGCGAAAAGGTCTACTGTATTGAAACATAAGGTATTTAGAGGTACCCGAGGGATTCTACGAAAAATAAATTTAACGCTGAGACAGTCGCTTCTTTATTTATAAATTTTGTTTACGGTTACAGTGGTATCCTGGGGAGATCCGGCCCGCCCCCCAGTGTTGCTGCTGCACGGATTTCTGGACACAGCTGCAACTTTCATACCTCTGCTGGAACATCTCCCAGACACCTACTATTATGTTGGCTACGATAACCCAGGTATACACCGGCTGACTTCATGACCATATACCATAGACAAGGGTGCCTGCGCAGTAGCAGTTTTACATACAAAACCGTCTACTGTGCAAGTTTATTGAAGTGAAACTTTTTTCGGAGCGTCACGTGCATCAAACGTGACAATATGTATGAGTGATGCGTGCGCTGCTCCGTTCCCCTATGCCTTATGTTTTATCTGTATTTTGCTCAAGAACTTTTCTGAGTTAATCTATCATCACCGTCAGCTTAATAATGTTTGATTGGCTATTATCTATAAGGTGGAAGTGTAGTAGGGGCGAACCGATGACATCGGTTCCCATACAAACGCTCTATGATTACCCTTCTAATCTATTTCTGTGTTCTGTGGTACGGAATCTAGGATACTAACGACTGGAAGATGCAGCGGAACCTATGGTATAACGTGCTAACAATCAAACATACAAATTACTTATATTTTTGTTGTCATATGTAGGTGTAAAACATTAGTTTTGAAGTGAAACTTCTTCTTGGAGGGGTTGTAAATGGAAAAACCGTATGGAAACGATGAAACGGAAATGCGTCACGAGCGTCACACGACTTTATATATATATATTTATACGCGTGGGGGGTGGTAGCGTGCGTAGCTCTTCAATATATATACAATATATACGAGTGATGCGTATGCTGCTCCATTCCCCTATGCCTTATACCCCGCCTATTGTTAGGTTATTTAAGAAAAGAAATTTCACTTCCGATGTATGGTCCGTGCACAATATTTTTTTATTTATTTAACCAGGAACAAAACGAAGAATTTAACTACAATTAGCTAAAATGATGATGAAGGTGGATATTCCAGGTCACGGCAAGTCAGATCCCTACCCCATAGGACCGCTAGCTACACAGGTCACACTCATTGAAGTCATTCGTGCTGTGGCGTCACATTTACAATGGAATAAGTTTATGATGATTACACACTCCATGGGTTTTATTAATGGTAAGTACTGAATCTATATATACATATAAAACTCAAAGGTGACTGACTGACTGAATTAGTGATCTATCAACGCACAGCCCAAACCACTGGACGGATCGGACTGAAATTTGGCATGCAGGTAGATGTTATGACGTAAGCATCCGCTAAGAAAGGATTTTGATCAATTCTACCCTCAAGGGGATAAAATTGGGAATGAAAGTTTGTATGAAACTTTATCAATTTTAAACCGATCGGGCTGAGACTTTGCATGCAGGTATAAGAAGAATCATAGATGAATGTCTTTGTGTATAATACAAGCCTGAGAACAAAAACTGTAGTCTACACTTCAGCTCTACACCGAAGCGAAGCGAGGGCGAGCCGCTAGTAGAGTAATATAATATGTAGGGGGAAAACCGGGAGACTTCCCCAGGTGGGAGAGTTGAACCATCTTTCGTTTCTTTATCGTTCATTGGTCACACGCGAGACTGTTTTGTTGTGATTGGCGTCGTGCATGTGATGTGACCAATGAACGAATTGACGTTTTGTTTGGTTTTAATAATAATAATAATAATAATTTAATTTATTTGCCAAAATACAGTTCACAAGTTGATACATATTAAGTAAGTACATGTATTCTACCTGCAGGCAGGTGTGCAAATATTGCAGTCAGTTATTTTTTTCATCTGTCATATATTCCTTAATACTATAATAACATTTTTTTTGTAACCATTTTGTCAACTTACTTCTAAACAGTGTCCCAGTTTCTAATTTTATATTGTCAGGTAATTTATTATATATACATATTAACATGTTATAAGCATTAACTTTATAAATATATGCGTGGCAAGGAGGCTGATATAATAAGTATCTATATTGACATCTCGTGTGTCTATTGCTCATTTCTACGCGCTTCTCGAAATACTTGCTGTGATCCCTGACAAATAAACATGCTTCCTTTATGTACATGCAGGGCAATGGAAGTATTTCAAATTTTTTAAATAAGGGTTTGCAGCTTTCGAGAAACCAAGCACCATCTAACATTCTAATGCATTTTTTTTGCATCCTAAAAACCCTATCGATATCTACTGAGTTACCCCATAAGAGCAGTCCATAACTTAAGGCGGATGAAACATATCCGTGGTAAGCCATTTGCGCAGCCTCTGTCGATACTGTTTGTCTCAACCTTTTTAAGGCAAAAACGAATTTTTCTATTTTCGAACAGACAGAATCGATATGACATTTCCAGTTTAAATTCTTATCAACAATTGTACCAAGAAATTTAAAAGATTCAACTCTTTCAATAAGAACCTTATTATGACATGGTTTAACAGACAGAGGTTTACTTTGGTAAGAATGAAATTGCATGATCTTAGATTTTTCCATGTTGATATTAAGTCGGTTTGCGACTAGCCAGGTATTAGCCTCAGACAATGCTTTATTAATTTGAGTCTCAGCTATCTCTTTATTGTCACATTTTACAGCTAAAGTGATATCGTCAGCAAAAAGTACGCAGTCATTGCTTATCATTTTAGGAAAATCGTTAATAAATAATATAAAAAATGATGGACCAATAATGCTGCCCTGCGGCACACCCCTTTCATTTAACAATATTTCCGATCTGAAATTCTTCTTATAAATTTTGTTATTTGATTCCTTAACGACTTTCTGTATTTCAGTGCATTGTATTCTGCCCTTTAAATAACTATGAATCCAATCATATGCTTTACCTCTAATGCCATATAATTCAATCTTTTTTAGTAGTATTGAGTGGTCAACAAAATCGAATGCTCGGGACATGTCAAGAAATACTGTCATTACTGGTATATTACGATTTAGATTTTTAGTAATACACTTAATTAATTTAAAACCGGCAAGTGTAGTTGATCTCCCTTTACGAAACCCACATTGCTCCTCTGTTAAAATATCATGCTTATCCAAAAAATTATTCATTCTACAAAGAAAGTCTTTTTCAAATATTTTTGAGATAATAGGTATTTTAGTTATAGGTCTGTAGTTATTAAGATCGGACTTGTCACCTTTTTTAAAAATAGGTCGAATTACGGACAGCTTTAGTTCGTCAGGAAAAATTCCATCAACAAAACTCAGGTTTATAATATGTGACAGGGGCAAAGAAATATATTTCGCACATGCTTTTATGACCTTCGTATGAATGTCATCGTAGCCAGTCGCATTACTGTTGTTTAGGTTCATAATAATTCTATAGATTTCCTTTTCATTGGTTGGATTAAGGTAAATAGTATATGGATTACTTGAAAATTTATTAAAATTTAAATTAATGTCATACGTATTAGATGTCCGAATGTTCGTAGTATTAATTAAATTATTATTACATAAATTGGAAATGTCAATGGGGTCAGTATATGTCTTATTATTGAAATTTAATTTATCTATGTCATCTTGATATGATTTAGGCATCTGATTCGCCGATATAATGTTCCAAGTAGCTTTACATTTATTTTTATTACGTAAAATATACCTATAATTTGTCAATTTGTGTGCTTTATTAATACATATTTTAAAACATTTATTATACCTGTAATATATATCCTTATTTTCTTTTTTATTAATGCTAGTAGTTTTATATTTTAGGTAAAAATTACGTTTAGTTTTACTTGATTTTTTCAACCCTTTAGTTAGCCATTTTGTTTTAAGCGGTCGATTATTCACTTTAACTCTTATTATTGGGAAACATAAATCATAGAGCAACCGAAATAATTCATAGAAAAGATTAAATGCTTCTCTTACATCGTTTGAATCGAAAACTTCTATGAACGATAAAGCCGCTATGTGTTTGCAAAACTTAATTATATTTTCTTGACTATAGTCTCTTTTATGTTCAAACCAAGTTGAAAAAGACTTTTTCGACACAGATATATAGTTCTTATTTTTATAATTTGTGCGGTCTCGTGATCCGAAAGTCCTAAATAAAGCAATTCTGATACGGACTGGTCTATATTACTGGCAATTTGATCGATGCAAGCATTTAATCTAGTCGGCAACTTAATATGAGATTTCAAATTATAAGATTCTAATAAACTGAAAAGTTCTTTTATATGCGGCGTTTGTTTCAAAGTGTCTAAATTCCAATCCCCGCAAATTATTATTTTTTTCCTTTTATATTTCTCTGTAAGGAAAAAAGTAGTTTGTCAAGTTTGTGTAGAAAAATACCTATACTGCTTTTACTTTGCTCTGGTATCCTATTTATACATATTACAATAATATTATATGCGCATAATTCAACTCCACAGCATTCAAAATATAATACAGTTGTTATATCAGAAGGAATGGTTAAAGGTTTCGTTTGTAATTCGTTTTTTAACAAAATACACATGCCTCCTCTACGTCACACTACGACAGAATGCGGAGCCTAGCTTGTAATTATTTAGTTTAACAATACTTTCACTGCCTCGCTTTAGAAAGGTTTCGCTAAAACACAGAATATCCACCTCCTTGCCATTGTTTGAAATTCCATTTTGAATGATGGTTCAACTCTCTCACCTGGGCATGTGTCCAGGTGTTCCCCTAGGTGTTTGGTGCTTAGATTTCAATCAAAGGAACACATTAGCTTTCAGGAAAGATTAAGCGCATATATTTATTAAAGGATCCATTCCTAACAACTCTGCCCAATCTTGTACCTCGAGTGATGCATTTATCTGTCAGACAGATCAGACAGATATGACGAAGTCATAAATATACAAATGTAATTTATTAGCTACTTGTAACCACATGAAAATGTCGTTTAAACATATTAATGCTAACACTATCTGTGTCTATGATCTTTATAATGTTGTTATAGTGAAATGAAATCTATTTGTTTCTTAGGTTTTCACGCACATCACTCATTATATGAAACACGTTTAAACGGATAAGATGCACTTATTTTATTTATTTATCGACGTTTCGCAGTATTTGAGGTCTGCGTCGTCTGTATAATGATTTTTTATTTACTTTGTCGAGCTACCTTCAAAAGATTTTTATTGAGAGTTCGGATATTTCATTGGAAGATTTTTAAAATTTTATTGTGTATGCACGAATTTATTAGCTAATTTAATTTAATTAATAAAGTACTTTATTTAAATTTCTTTTTTGTAATTTTGAGTTCATTTATTTGACCCTGACTACCGTAAGCTACCACCGGTTCCAAAATTGGGAGACCTTTCCGAGAAATGAAATTTATAAAAAAACCTTTATTATGTATATTTTTGTCTACAACTTTTTTCCCATATCGTATAGAGATTTGCCCCCATAGTTCAAAAATAGTCATGAGAGGGGCTATCTAACGACAAACTAACAGCTGATCGTTATTGGTAGGTGTTACATGTCCCATACATTTCTGCCCCCTTTCACCCGCTTGAAACCGAGGCGGATGGCTAGTCTTTTTATTAACATCCTTCGCGTTGGTGGAGTGCCGCAAGGTAACACTATTAAGGCTTCTTTTGTTTATAATTCCCATTCCAGCAATATTCTACCACAGCGTGTATCCCGGCAGGATCACCAGCATGGTGAACCTGGACCCGCTGCCCGCCATAACCAACTACTACGCCTTGCAGGAGTTACCCGCGACATGGTTCGGCTACTTCTACGAATCCCACTGGGATGAATTTGCGAAGTAAGTTCTTCAATGCCACTTGCGATAATGTTTTTATTTAGAAGCTGATATTTTGTATAAATTAGACAAATTTAGATTTTCATTTTGAGTTTATCTCATGATCATGACTATTAATGGACCCGCTGATGGGGCACGGAATTCCACTGTAGACTAAGTCTTTTTTATGTCCAAATAAAGTACATTGGAGATTAAAAGTAGAAAAAAGTACATTGTGTCCAAAATAAAGTAGGAACTGTTTATTCCACTTTATTAGTAAGCTTAAAAATATATTTTACGTTGCGTATAGCAACTTTTAATGAATAATTTGTAGCGACTAAAAATCTGTAGTTCTTATCCGCAATGGGAAAGGCCATTATACAAAGCCATACAGCCGCGACAATGTTGCAAGTATAAGCTAAGGGTGACATATTATACATACTGTTGTTCCGTTTTTCGCAAAAATTCTTCTTATCCTCTTTTTGTATGTTTTATGTAAAATTAATCCCCAAGTAATCAAGTCATATTAAATAAAGTATTTTCGCGTACTATATTGTTGGCATAAAGTATAGAGTACAATTCCCCGAAATAACGTACAATACTTTATAATAAAGTACGGGTGGCAACCCTAGCTAAGTCACATAACTATTAGGCGCTTAAGAATAAAATTAGTTCCTTAGAGGGTCTAAAAATTTTGGATCACCTCTCAGAATGAAAAGGAGAGACTGATGTTAATTTAGTTTTATGTTTAGAGAAACAGCCAGAATCGACACCAGTGATTTGTACATACAGTAAACCCGTTTAAGACGATTTCACAGGGACTCAACCAAAAACGCGTCTTAGGCGAGAAAGTGTATTATGCAGGATAGGGGAAAAAAACGTTATTATATATTGATATTTATTATATTGTATTATTATGTCGAATGTAAGTATTGAGGTATTAAATGTACAATATTTAAGAATTATGTACGTAATATAAAATGTAGTGTATTTTTTTTTTTTTGGAAGGAAAGAATGGACCTTATTGATTCTATAGATATATATAGTTCAAAGTTGACTGAGAGTAGGCAGGTGTACGACAGTGATACAAAGAAATTACATTTAGAGATTCAATATTTACATGAGTCACTAGAAACATTATCTAACAAATATTCAAATGCACAAAAACAAATAAGTGAGCATATAAAATCAGCTTCAGAATTAGTTGAACTATGCAACTACAATGCAGAACGTTATGAGTCTTTAGTAAAAAATCAATTAAGTAGTTCTTTAAATCAATCTTCCTTGCAATCAACATCATCTGAAATTATAGAGGTTGTTAATAATAATAATAATTCTCAAACAGTTCAAAATTTTGGTGGTTCATCTGTCTGTTCTGGGTCAACTTGCAAAACATATAACAACTCCCCTGTGAGGTCAATCTGCACTACATATAGTACCTCTCCTTTCAAACCAGTGCTATCTGAGAACACAACTAGAAGTAAAACAATTATGTTCTCGGATAAGTTAGGATGCGGCTTTGGATTAATGTTAAGGAATTATTGTAATGAAAGAATTACTAATATATGTATGCCAGGTAAATCAATAAATGACATTATAAGTGAACTGAATCAGTATGATGCGGACAGTTTGACAAACATAGTTATTATGTGTGGTGACAGCTCTAAAATAAGAGCAAGAGATATGTATAGAAATATAGAGGTGCTACTTAACTATCAGTCTAGGTGCAAGTGTAAAATAATAATAAGCGCTTTCCCATATGCAGAAAATTTAACTAGGGAACAAAACAAGCGCATCTTTAATTTGAATTTAATAATTTATAATTTATTAAATAGTCATAGTGACAATTTTTTATATTTTGATATAAATAAATATATTAGTAAATTTAAGTTGACCACAGATACTATGTATCTTGCAAAAAAATATAAGACTCAGATAGCTACTTTGTTAGCTTTTAATATACAAAACTCAGTTATACATGGTATAACAAAGTCTATGCAACTGGATTGTTTTAGTGTCAGCACTAATAAAATTATTAATTTAGAAAATAGGGTGACCAACTCAAATTTAAACTGAGGGGTACGACAACAGCCAAATCCAACAAAATTAATATTATTTATCAGAATATTCAAGGGTTGGCTGGCAAAGATTTAGAATTAGAACTATTTGCAAAGAGCCAGGATATTCATGTTATCTGTTTATCTGAACACTGGCTTAAGTCTTCTGAGGTGTCTTTTAGCATAAACAATTTTCAAATGATAAGTGCATATGTTCGTACTGCAGCTATACACGGTGGCACATTAATTTTTGTAAATAAAAATATAAAAACTAGGGATAGAAAGGACATAGTTGGCCTCTCAGTAGAATGTATTATTGAGCTATCCTGTGTTGAATTCAGTGAATTTATTATAGTATGTGTATACAGACCCCCTCTAGGCAACATTAGTGTTTTTGAATCAGTGATGGAGAATGTTCTAAAAAAGTTAAAGTCTAAAAATAAGTTTTTGATTGTAGTTGGTGACTTTAATATTAACATTCTTGAAAATAATTCAATGTCAATTCGCCTAACATCACTATTCAAATGTTTTAATTTGGTACATCAATTTTTGAGCCTACTAGAGTAACATCTCATTCAGCTACTTGTTTGGATAATATATTTACTGATTATAATCCAGTTAGTAAATCAATTATTAATTGTATCACATCAGATCATTACGGCTTAAAAATAACATATAATACAAATGACACTACTAAGCCCAAATTCATTGAATTAAGACCAGTAACAAATAAACGTTTAGAAAATTTTCAAAACAATATTGATGATAAAATGTTTCTAATGCCATGGACACATGAGGATCCTAATATTCTTTACGGCAATATGTTCACTTTGGTTAAGAAAGAATTCGATAAGGCTTTTCCGCTTAAAACTTTGAAATTAACTCAAAAGTTGAACTTCTGTGACTGGGCTACGTCTGGTATTTATAAGAGCAGAAATAAACTTTATGATTTGTACTACTTAAGGAAGTACAATCACTCTCAGGGTTTCATTGATTATGTTAAAAGGTACTCAAAAACATTCAAAAGTGTATGTGCAACAGCCAAATCCAATTACATAAAAAATAAAATCATAAAATCTAATAATAAAATTAAAACGACATGGAATGTTATTAATAGAGAAACTGGTAAAGAAAGAACCCTCGATGATGGGATCGCACTTAAAGTAGATAATATTCAAATTAAAACAAAAGAACAGATTGCCAATACTTTTAATGAATATTTTGTTAATATACCATTAATCACTACTTCTAATTTGAATTCGACGCCAGCGGGTGCTAAGAGTTTGCTAGAGACGTGTGTGCCTCGGTGTAATAACCTGTTTACGTTTAAACATGTTGATTTTATGGATATTATAAAATGCTTTAACTCACTTAAAAAGAAAAATACGTGTGATTTGTTTGGAATGTCTATTAAAATTACTAAAAGTATAATAACAGTTATCGCTCCTTATCTTGCAGATATATTCAATAAGTGTATTGATCAAGGTGATTTTCCAGACCTTATGAAATATAGTAAAGTTATCCCTCTCTTCAAAAACGGCATAAGAGATGATCCCGGTAATTACAGACCTATATCAATATTACCGGTATTAAGTAAAATTTTCGAAAAAATTATTTTAGATCAATTATTATCGCATGTCAGTTTGAACAAACTGTTACATAATAATCAATTTGGCTTTACTAGGGGTAGATCAACAACGGATGCGGGTGTTGCACTTATAAGACATATAATGGAAGCCTGGGAGAAGTCGCAGAATGTTCTTGGGGTATTCTGTGACTTATCCAAGGCGTTTGACTGCGTTGAGCACCAGACGCTGATGTTAAAATTAAATCACTATGGAATCAAAGGCGCAGCCCAAAACTTGCTACTATCGTATCTCAGTTCCAGAGTTCAAACTGTAGAGGTAAATGGTGTTAAGTCATCTGGATCTTATGTGAAAATGGGCGTTCCCCAGGGATCGATTTTAGGTCCGTTTCTATTTTTATTGTACATAAACGATTTGCCATTTTTTGTGGAAAAATTGTGTGAGATCGTATTGTTTGCTGATGATACTTCTTTATTATTTAAGGTTGACCGATACAAGAATAACTTTGACGATGTAAATAATGCTCTCTCACAAGTATTGCACTGGTTTAATGTAAATAACTTAAAATTAAATGCAAATAAAACCAAATGCATTAAATTCACTTTACCTAATGTTAGAAGCGAAACCATTAGAATTAAACTAAACAATGAAAACCTAGATTTAGTTGAGTCAACGATATTCTTAGGTATAACCATAGACTCGAAATTGCAATGGTATCCTCATATTTCTCTGCTAGCTGGTAAACTTAGTTCAGCAGCCTATGCCATACGTAAAATAAGACAACTTACTGATGTAGCTACTGCTAGAACTGTATACTTTAGTTACTTTCATAGTATTGTATCCTATGGTATTATTCTCTGGGGATCAGCAGCCGATATTGAAACTATATTTATCTTGCAAAAAAGAGCTATAAGGGCTATTTATCAACTTAGTTCTAGAACATCTCTTAGAGAAAAATTTAAAGAAATCGGGATTTTGACTGTTGCTTCTCAATTCATTTATAATTGCATACTTTTTGTTCGAAGCAATATTAACTATTATCTAAAACACAGTGACATACATTCTTTTAATACAAGGAATAAAAATAAACTCAAGATACCAAATTACAGGTTACAGAAGGTTCATAAATCATTTATGGGTCAAGGTATACATTTCTATAATAAGATTCCTATTGATATCCTTGATTTGCCTCCTCATAAATTTAAAATACACATTAAGAATTGTTTACTTAAGAAAGGATATTATACTGTCAATCAATATTTGAATGATAAAACGGCCTGGTTGTAATTTTACTTGTAGATAATTTTTCAAAAGTTATATTAAAACTAAGGCTCCCAGTTATAGAAAGAGTTTTGAAGAGAACCTTGCACTTACTCCCTTT